GATATGTGACTCCAAGCGTACTACGATTCAGGTAATGGTTGCAACAAACTAGGATATGCAACATGCTCTCCTTTACACCTTTGGCAAGTGTCACATTCCATGACCTCTTGTTTGATTTCTCTCACCATTCCAGGCTAAAAGAAGTGAGACTTAGCCCTATGAATACTGGCTTGAACTCCAGAGTATCCCCCTTCCTGGGATGAGTGAATGGCCCCAATTAATTTCTGTCTCATCCCTGCACTAGAGCTAATATAGATTTTGGATTTGTACTTAAGCAAACCATTCTTGTAAGTATAGTCTGGTTCTGACTTTTCATCAAGAAGTAATGCAGTGATCTTGCTCCCAGCTTCCTTATCCTCCTGGTAATTGGCAATTACCTCCTGAATCCAAGCTGGGGTCATGGTGGTTATGATCAAACATTCAGTATCCTCAGGGCTTACCTTCTTAGACAGAGCATCTGCCACTTTATTAACTAACCCCTTCTTATATTGAATTTCATAGCTAAGTCACAATAGTTTGGTTAGCCATTTCTACTGCAATGGAGTTGTAATCCTTTGTTCCAATAAGTAATTGAGAGATTGGTGGTCCGTTTTTATTATGAAATGATGTCCTTCCAGGTAGTGCCTCCACTTTACTACTGTTGTCACTAGTGCTAGTAGTTCCTTCTCATATATGGATAATCCCAAAAATCTATTGTTGATCCCTTTACTCAAGTAGGGTATTGGCCTTTTATTCTGCAATAAAACAGCCCCCAATCCACCGTGGCATGCATCAGTTTCAATCACAAAAGGAATAGTAAAATCTGGGAAAGCCAATACAAGTATAGTACACATAGCAAGTTTTAATTCGTGGAAGGCCATATCAGCTGCTTCGTCCCCACAGAAACTTATCCTTCTTCAACAGATCTGTTAGTGGTCTGGCCATTGCCCCATATCCCCTTACAAACTTTCTATAATAACCAGTGAGTCCTAAAAAACCCCTCAATTGTTTAACATTTACAGGTATAGGCCATTCTTGCATAGCAGTAATCTTGGAAGGATTTGCAGACACCCCTTCAGCTGTGATAATATGCCATAAATACTCCATCTTGGATTGCCCAAATGAACACTTACTCCTTTTAGCATAAAGTTGGTGTTTCCTTAGTAATTTTAAAACCTCACTTACCTACTTGTAGTAGGTTTCTAAGTCCTTGCTATAAATCAATATGTCATCAAAGAAGACCAAAACATATTTCGTAAGTTGTTCTCTGAAAACTTCATTCATCAGGCATTGGAATGTGGCAGGAGCATTTGTGAGCCCAAAGGGCATTACCTTGAATTCATAGAGCCCTTCATGTGTTTTAAAAGCTGTTTTATGGATGTCTTTCTCAGCTATCCTAATTTGGTGGTACCCTGATCTCAAGTCTATCTTGGTAAACCACTTTGCTCCTTTTAATTCATCTAGTAGCTCATCAATTAAGGGCACATGATACTTATCTTTGATGCTCAAGTTGTTTAGCTGCCTATAGTCTGCACAAAACCTCCAAGTGTCATCCTTCTTCTTGACTAGTAAGACAGGGGATGCATAAGAACTAGTACTTGGTTGAATTATTCCACTCCCTTTCATCTCTTTAACCAACCTTTCAATCTCTACTTTTTGTATGTAGAGGCACCTATATGGCCTCAGTTTGAAGGGTTGTGCTCCCTCCTTAGTTGATATGTGGTGATCATTGAACCTGGGTGGAGGTAAGACTTTTGGCTCAGAGAAAACTATTTGGAATTCATCCACCACTGCCTGAATTTTAGTTGGTACTATTTCTGGCTCCTTGTCAACACTAATGTCAATTTGTGCTATCACTCTATAAGTTTGACTCCTGAACTAGTTTCTTTCCTCCTCTTCTGTCATCATATGACATTCCTCTTTAATAGCCTCATTACTCAGTTCCAGTTTGGTATCACCATGAGTGAATATTATACTTCCTTTGCAGAAATCAAAGAGCACAGGGTTGAACTGACTTAAGCAATCAACTCCAAGAACCATATCACTACCTCCCAATTTGAGGACCTTCAACTGATATTGAAATTCTAAACCCTACATTTTCCAGGTCAATGGATTGCAGATGGCATTACTCACTAATTTTTTCCCACCTGCTACTGTCACAGTCACTAGGCTAACTGATTGCATTCTACAATTGAGGCTCCTGGCTAAGTGTTCATCAATGAAATAGTGGGTACTTCCACTGTCAATGAGGATGGAGACCCTCCTATTCTTGATGCTCCCTAGAAGTCTAATGGCTCTAGTTCTATAGTTGCCCATTAAGGCATGGATTGAAATCTCTATCACTTCCCTTAATTCTTCCTCTACTTTTTGTTCTTCCTCTCCTCCAGGTAATCTTCCTCTTTCCTTTGTTTCTTCTCATCTACAAGTATGAAGTTCAACATTCTATTCTTGCATATATGCTCACGTGTATACTTCTCATCACACTTGTAGCACAACCCCAGTTCTCTCTTGGTTTGAAATTAGATGGTGTAATAGCTTTGAACTTCAGGGGGTTGGTTGAGTTTCTTGTGGTAGGTTCAGTATGGGGTGTATCTTTATGGGTGGTTTCAGCTGGTTTGATATTAGGAAGGGTCCATTTGGTCTGTGTATAAGGTTTATAGGTTTTGGCTCCTTTATTTATGGCTGTAATTGTATTCTTCTGCAAGAGAGCCACTTCAAAAGCCTTGGCTTAGTGGTAGGTTTAATGATTTTCACAATAGATTTGATCTCCTCTTTCAGGCCACTAGTGAAGATAGATATGTAATAGGATTCAGGTCGATGTGGCAGTGATAGCATCATCTGCAATTTCAATTCTTCAAACTGTTCCTGATATTCAACTATATGTCCTTCTGCCTTAGTTTGCTAAACACTTCAATTACCTCTTCAGCTGTGTTCTCTGCAAATCGCCTGCATATTTCAGTGGAAAATGTTTCCCAATCCACATCTGGATAGCTAGCTATAAATCCATGAAAACATATATCTGGTTTTCCTCTCAGATACATTTCAGCAATGCCCACTTTCATCTCCTCAAGCACTTGATGGATCTGAAAATACTTCTTAGCCTTCCTGGTCCACTCTCTAGGGCTCTCCCCACTAAAGTACGGAAAATCAATCTTAGGAATCCTTGTGTTCAACCTGTAATCACCCCTATTGTTTCCCTGCGAAGAAGAATCCTTTATCCCAGTGTTTATCACTCCCCCAGCAGACAGAACAGGAGTCTGGTGAACTTCTACTTGTATTCCTTTGCCATTACCTTGGGGTGAAGAATTTCCAAGGTTACTCCCTCTACTCATTTTAGCCATCATTCCTACAATATTTTCGTATTTTTGGTTTATCTCCACCATTAACCCTTCAAGTGTATCATGTCTGCTACATAGATGCTTCACATCTTGGTCGGTGCTTTGATAGGCTACACCCAGCTCTCCCAGCTCTTTATCCATCCTTTTAATCTGTTCTCCTTGGCTCTTCTTCAGGTTTCCATTCCTTTCCTAGTTTACGTATGGCTTTGATACTAAATGTGATGGTTGGCCCTCAACACCTCAACAAAGCTACACAACCAGAAGTATTAAACACAAATAGCACAAATGAACTCAACACCCAGGTGAAAATTGTAGTAAAATAAAAGTATAAAGCTGGCTTTGATTAAAATGAAAGAGAAAGAGAAGGAGACAGAGATGGGAAATAAGAGAGAAGAGAGGAAATTTGGAGAGATAGCTTCTGATTGCACATCCATCGATGCTCTTTTTTCCTCTATTATAGCTGTTATGCTAAATCAGATTAAGAAAGTGTGAGTGCAAGGATAAAACGTGTTTAGTCATTACAATTTTAGAAATAAAACAAAACGGCACCGTTTCTTCAAATTTGAATCTTCAGCTATGGTAGTTGGTAATCTTCTCCCTTCTGTAACTTGGGTTTGCTTCTCTTCTTCTTTTGTTGCCACTTCTAACGGTTGTCTTCTTCTCCCTCGTAACAACATCATGCCTTTTGATCTCCCTTCTAAGAATTTCACAGGGGAAAAAAACCTCACTCTATCCAAAAGCCTTGGGTGGGTGCTCTGTTTCTGGATATTCAAACATTTGGTCCATTTCTGTATCTTCCATTTCAGATAAAAGTTAGAGACTAGTGTGGGAATAACAAAAACCCACTATATAACAACATGTATATTCAATGTTTAACATGTTTGTCATGATTTGAGATTGAAGGTGAGTGATATGTGTGATGATTTGAGGTATTTTTTGTAATATGCAATTTGGAGATTTTGGTTTTGTTCGGAAGTGATACACAAAAAATTGAATGGTGAAGATCTCTTCTTGAAATATAACTACAAATCTCGCAAAAAAGTGAGTAATATTCATGATAATTTGGGATTTTGATTTTTGATGAAAATGGTTCACAAGAAATTGGGGTTTTTGAGATAACGGGATGTAATTACGGGATTTCTTCATTTATTTTGTAGTAAATACGGCATGTTTGTTGGGTTGGTATTTGTTGTCCAATAAACTATTAAGGCCTTTTTTGGTTCACATTCTTTCAAAAAAATACATTCTAAAACAGTGACTTGATATCATTTCAATCACACATTCTTTAATAAAATAATATTACACATAAATCCATAATTTTTTCTCATTTTTTAACCACACGTTTTCAATCAATCTACTATTCAAAAATACATTTTTTCAAAATAATATAGCTCAAACACACACTAAATGTGTTAGAAGTGTTATTTGTTTTCATTTTTTACTTTAAAAAATGCAGTATAAATGGTAAGAAAAATAATAATAATAATAATAATAAATTATGTGAGTAGCATATGATATATTATGAAAATATAATTATTACATGTAATTTCCTAAAGAATAATCCACTTTTAGCAAAATAGAATCAAAAGATGAGAGAGAAAGACGGGATCTTGAAGCCCACATATAATTTGTGGCTGAGAATTCACTTTTTCTTGCTGACTTGGCTTTGCTCACCTATTTAGTCAACTTTCGCCTGTTGTTACGAACAGAACCCTACGAACCCCAATCCAACCCGCAGAACTCAGAGAAAGAGAGTCGTATGAGTCAGATCCCCTAATCCCAAAAAAATCTGGGCTAATTTTTGTGTTTGTTTTCTTGTTTTGATCTGTTTTAAGTAAAGTTATGGGTTTCTTGATTGTCGAAACACAAGATAAAGAAATGTTTGAAGTGAATGACCCAAAGATAAAGCTGTTTGGGAAGACCATTAAGCAGCTGCCGGATATTCCTCTTTTGGCGGCCGATGGAGTAGGTGGGACCGATCAAGTTCAATCTTGTGATGCTGCTGTTTGTGATGGTTCAATACAAGATGGCCCTTGTTCATCGAATTCTATAATTGGAGATATAACTTCAGGTATTGATGCAGAAGAGGAAGAATCAACAAAGGTATGGTTAAACATAATACTTTTGTTTTGTTTTTTTTTTTTTTTTTTTTTTTTTTTTTTGCTTTTAAAGCCAATTCTTGATTTGAAATGGTATAAGAATTAATGGGTCGATCTTAATTTTTCATTGTTTTCAATAACTTGTTGATTTTCGGATTGGGTCTGGTTTTAACGTCATGACTAGGGTTTTTCATTTTTATTTATTTATTTTTTTGGAATTGCTCATATAATTTTGCAACTAGTGTAGTTCATGATGTTGGGGGCAGAAGCAATAAAAACAATAAAACAAACATGCTATTGAAGTTCCATGAATTTCAAATGAATATCGCAATGTGATCACCTATTTTTTGTCGATTTCTAAGAATACTAGAAACCTAGGTATCAAAAACTCTTGGATTCGTGCACGAGTACATTAAAATTTGGACTAGCTGATTTTAAATATCAAATAACAAGAATTTAAGAAATTGGGGAACTTCATAACAATTAATATTTTATTTCAATTCTAGAACCACCTACTTGCTATAACCCTTATTTAAAACAATAAATGAAAACTAGGGGTTTTGTTTAGATAAAAATAAGATTTTTAGTAGACCGATAAAAGTTGATGAAACGTGTAGTTAAAAATCTACGAAACCTATGACATGTGTGATTAAAATTTAAGTGTTGACTTGAACCTCAATTTGAGCCAAACAAGAGCTAGATAAAGACTAAAATTAAAAATAATGACTAAACTCAATTTTCATCAAGACTAAATCTAGAAAAGACTAAAATTAAAAATGAAGACACAATCTTCATCATTCTCCTCCTATTTCAGAAAATTCGTCCTTGAATCTTGTATTGTGTTCTAGATCCAATTCCTTGAGACCATGACAATCAATTCGTTAGCTCTATGAAATGTTCATTAGCTGCTTCATTCAATTTCATTAAAAGTTGCATATATATCAGAACATGAATGGCAATCTCATGCTCAATCAACCATATATCTTCAATGTCAAAATAGAAAAGCATGTGTTCCAAAACCAAGGACATAATGTCGCCTCCTTCCCAAAATTTGCCATGTTTTATAGTCATACCCTTGACACAAAAGCATGGGTTCTTGGCATCTAAGCTGTCATATTGAATTTTTGTTTTTGTTTTTGTTTTTTTTTTTTGAATTTTTTGGTAATTCTTCAAAGATTTCGACATGTGATTAGTTACGAGAAACTGGAACATTATTGTATTTTTCATTGTCCAAATCGAAAATTTCTTCAATCTCTTCATCGAAAATCAGAGGCCCATCATTATTATCGTTACCTAAATCCTCAATTTTTCAATTTCTTCATCGAAGATTGGTGGAGCTGTCGTAACTAAAATCCAAAGATTCTTCCACCTGTGAATTATTGAAATCAGTAAAATGGGTTTTGTCCCAAAAAGGAACTTCAGACATTAGATTTCACGAACGTCAACTTGTTTTTATCAGGAATGAATCACGCTTTAATGCCAACAGATAAAACAAACACACTATCGAAGTTCCGTTGATTTCTTCTAGCTTCTATTCATGCTTAAGAATACCAGAAATCTAGGCATAAAGAACTATTTGATTCGTGCATGAATACAGAGAACTTGGACTCGTTAATTTTAAATATCAAATATCTAGAATTTAAAAAATTGGGAAAGATCTCAACAATTAATATTACATTTCAATTCAAAAACCACATAATGTCGTTAAGGCTTACAAACCTTATTTAAAGCAATAACTTGAATTTAGATAAAGACTAAAATTAAAAATATTGATGTAGACTCAATCTTCACCACGACTAAATCTAGATAAAAACTAAAATTAGAGATAATGACTAAAATAATGATGTAAACTCAATCTTCATCAGTTTCAGTTTCAGTTTCAGTTTACTGATTTAATCTTGGAAATATTACATGCTTAAAAAGATGTTCTGTGAATTTCTGATCAATTGTATCTTATGTATCATTCTGAGGGTGCTTCAAGTTCTCTCTCCACTCCACTCCACTCCCCAAAAAAATAGTTGTACTTTTTTATTTTATAACACGGTACGTTTGGTAGGTCGTATTGTACAAAACTGGACGTGACTAATGAAGTAAAAACTCATTAATTGTACATTCTAATCGTCTCATTAGAGTTGTGCTATATGTATAAGTTTTATGCCCAAATCTTTTTCAACGAATTTAAGTAATAGGTTTATGCGTGTGTGGTGAATCGTGGTTTCATACATAAAAAATGAAAACTTAGTTTTCTGTTTTAGTTTAAATTCCTGCTTATTATACTTGTTCACATCCTATATATGTATGCCTCTGTTTGGATACAAATTTATAAATGGTTTATAAATTCAGTGAAAGTCAAATATTAATTTTCATTATTTACACATTTTGAGGCCCACTACTATTCCTTTTATATGTCATGCTGACAGTTCTTTTATGTCGGATATGTAGTGGTTTGTTACCTTTTTCCTAATGAAGATATCGAGCTGTAGAGGCTCTAGAGTTTGGCTTTTAATTTCTTGCTTACAATTTACTTGGACAAAACTGCTAGAGAATCCGTAGCTTCCAACTGGTAAAAAGAGCTTTTCTTTGGACCTTAAATCGGGATTCTCAAGGACCATTTTTAGTTTGAATCCTTGTTGACCTAATATTGTTTGTAAGTCTGTAATTCTAGCTACATATGGTACTTTAATTTGGTTCTAATAGCGTAAATATCTTACCTAACTATTCTGTGATTTTCATGTTGCTTCTTTTTCTCGGTCTCTCTCTCTCTTATTAAAGAGTGCAAATTTTATTGGGCTATTATTTCTTTATTAGTTCAAACCCATAATACGGAAAATTGCATTCATGGCTTGTTGGATTTGTTTCTTATTTCTTTACACATAATTGGGGTTGGACCGTTGGTTGCCTGCAAGATACACTCGAAAAGAGGAGGAGAAAGAACCAATCAAATCACTTTTGCTCACAGAGATACATAAAAAAGAATTGTGTACAGCATAGCAGCAAATAATTCTTTAATCTTTAGAATGAAAGAAAAGAGGCCAGTTTTCTTTTTAAAAAATTTTACATAGCAAATGCGGATTTTGTTCCTAAATCATGGGGTCCATGATGTAGAACCAATTGAAATAACTACAGAAAAACCGACAGGAGAGAAGAAGAAGAAGAAGAAGAAGAAGAAGAAGAAGAAGAAGAAGAAGAAGAAACCAGAGAGTGGGGAAACAGGGGAGAAAAAGGGGGGAAGGAGGGAAAAAACTTGGCCACAAACCAAACGTAATTTAATTCATTCATCAACTAAGTTTTGTTTTCAATTACAAATCATATGAATAGATAAACCAACAAACCTAAAAGCTAAGGGCTTGGGCCAGCCCATTAATACAAACCCAACTCTAAATAAAATAAAGTAAACGAACCAATAATAACAAATGGAACATAAATGGCCGAAACAAATGACCATCAGCCCATTTCACTGCTGGTCATGAATCGTAGATCGTGGCATGTTATCATTTTGCAAAGATAATATAAGGATTTAAGTACAGTAGTCTGGCATTCATGTATCTTTCAAGTTCTGTTCATATGTTATGTTCACAATAAAAATTGTGTTCAAATAATTGGTAAATTATAAAATCCAACCCTTGATTTTTCTTTTCTCATGGAGAATCTATATGCATGCAGGATTTGTCTGGTCATAAACAGGAGAATAGTGATCGGAAGGATGGTACACAACCTTTGACGTCAGAGGAATTAAAAGATTCTAATATGACTCCTTTGGCTAATGATGATTCAAATGCATTGTCTACTAATAACGATGCTGAAAGAATGAAAACCTCAAAAACCGGAAACGACCCGCGTGACACAAGTACCTCTCACGAGAAGACACTAAAGAAGCCAGACAAGATACTTCCATGCCCTCGCTGTAATAGTATGGACACGAAGTTCTGTTACTTCAACAATTACAATGTTAATCAACCTAGGCACTTCTGTAGGAAATGTCAGAGATACTGGACAGCTGGTGGGACCATGAGGAACATGCCGGTAGGTGCAGGTCGCCGTAAGAACAAGAATGTGGCTGCTCATTACCGTCATCTAATGGCCTCAGAAGCACTTCAGAATGCACAAGCAAATCTCTCAAATGGAATTCACGAGCCAACTCAGAATGCCAGTGGCACTGTCATCGCTTTTAGTTCGGATGCACCCCAATGCGAGTCGACTGCTTCTGGTTTGAGTGTTACAGATAAAACAATTCAAAACTGCTCACACAACAGGTTTCAAGAACCAAAAGAAAAGGGAATTTCAATATCTCGTGGAAATAAGGATGAAGGGGATGATCACTCGAGTGGATCGTCAGTCTCTGCTGCAAATTCGAACAACGAGGTTGGTAAAACTGGGTTGCCCGACTCACAAATGCAGAACTTTCATAGCTTTACTCCTCAGGTGCCTAGCTTTTCTGGAGCCCCGTTCCCGTACGCATGGAATTCAATTCAATGGGGCGCTCAAGTGTCCCCCTCTGCTTTGGGACCTATTAGTTTTCCTGTGCCATTTTATCCTACAGCACCATTCTGGGGTTGCCCTGTACCTGGCCCATGGAATGTTTCTTGGGTGGTCCCACCTACTGCTTCCCATAATCACACACCACCGGGCTCTGGTCCTGATTCCCCGACTTTGGGGAAGCATTCACGGGACGACAACATGCTAAAGCCAGCCAGCAACGACGAACAAAAGAAAAAGAGAGACAATAATTGTGAGAGATGCTTGTGGGTTCCCAAAACATTGCGAATTGATGACCCGGAAGAAGCTGCAATGAGTTCCATATGGGCAACACTGGGTATAAAAAATGAAAGAGTTGGTTCCTTTGGTGGACGTGGCCTCTTCAAGGCCTTCAATAGGGTATCAAAAGATGATGAGAAGAAGACTCATGTTTCAGAAACCGCTACAATATTACAAGCCAATCCAGCAGCATTGTCCAGGTCATTGAACTTCCATGAGAGCTCATGAGCAGATAAGTTCGGTAAATCTTAAACTTTGGTGACAACATGGAAAGTATTCAAAGGATAATACCTTTCGCCCACAGGTATGCTTTGTCTGGTCCGCTTTCTACTCCTTCAGTAGAACATATTCCTAAAGCACAGAATAACTTGGAGAAGATTGAGGATACATTTCAGCAATTCTCCTAGGTGGATGATCAAGTAGGTGCCTTTTATTTTAAAGAGATGGTCTGGTGAGTTTTTAGTTCCTGTACATGTATATGAATAGTTAGAGCTTGAAAATAGTGAGTTTTATGTACCAAATTCCAGACGCTGTAATATAAGTTGGGCATACCAAGAGTTGTGTCTTTTTGGACATGCCATTCAGTTGGTGATCTTATCAGGAAAGGAATTTTTCTCTAGTGATTTTTATAGTGGTTCGTTTTCCTTTATGCTCAAAGAGTCAAGGTGCTGAAGTATCTTGCTGCCCATGGAAATCTTGCGAGTTTTATTCTTTTCTCGACTTCTAATTGTGCCTATACATATACAGATATGTAAATGTACTTATGCATGTACATGGCACAAGCACATGTTATATTCTTGAGCTTCACAATAAAGTCACTCTAATGCATTGATTTTTGGATGGCCACTGTAATTTGAATTGTTTGTGCGAAGAAGCCACTGTATGAAAGTGTTTCATACAGTGGCTCTCTACCCTTCATTTGTCAAGGATAAATTAAAAGTTTGTCATTTAGTACTTGATGTTAAAGGGCTGTTCCGGGTTCCTTGCAATGGCGTCGAGGTTTTGCGTTCCCAATCAATCAATATACATTTTTTCACTTACAATAATGAAAATTTACGAATTTTGACCAAGTATAAAGCAGAAGATTAAACATGTAAGGCAAACTACAAAACATAGATTTTATGGAACCGTCCCAACTTTATTTCTCACTAAAAACTAAGGAACATATACAAAACACGAAGATTGAACACAGCCTGTTGTCTCATCATTTTCACAATCTGCCTCATTATTCAACGAAGTTCTCAACACTTAGAATTTAAAGATAAAGATACAAATTCGGATGGCAGCTTACATCCCAAATTGCAAGGGTTAATTTGACAGTTTTTCAGCCCCACATGGCCTGAAACTGTCAAAGGTGTCAATGTTGTCAAACAGTTGCCCACCAAGTCGAAAAGTCTTAAACTAAGAGAGACAGATGTAACCAAGTGGATTAAGGCTGTGGATTATGAATCCTCTATGTGCGGTTTCAATTCCCGTCATTCGCCCATAACTAAATGATAGCATTATCATCCTATTTGTTTATTTATTTGTTTGTTTTGTTTTTGTAAAGATGAAGAAAGAAATTCTATTTTCTCGCCTCTTTACTGTGGTGACGAAAAATGAAATTATTACTATATTTATTCCTTTTTTCTACTTCTGCATTCCTAGAGACGCATCAAAATATTAACATCTTATAAATCTGCTTTGATTCAATCCATCGAATAACCATGAAAATCTTTGATTCAAGTAGATATTTTGCAAAATCAACCATTTATTGATCTTGTATCCATTTCAATCTTCGTCAAAAGTCTTTTCCTTTAAGACATTGAGATTGTGATCTTTGATTAGATTTTGGTAGAATTAAAGTTGCTCCCTATATTTAAACTCTAATGTTTCCTCCTCAAAGAAGAAGTACAGCAAGATTATTGGGGTAGGAGTTTAAGTCAACTCTTACTTTATTATCTTAATAAATTTTTATAACCTCAACGTTACGGAGATGTAATGACAATTTAATTAAATAGGCCTTGTTTAAGCCACATTATTTGAAAAAATATATTTTTTAACAGTAATTTGACATCATTTCAACCACATATTCTTTAATAAAATAATATTACATGCAAATCCAAAACATTTTCTTATTTTTTAACCACACAGTTCCCACCAATATACTATTCAAAAATGTATTTTCATTCCAATAACGTGGCTCAAACAAACAAATAATGGATTTCATAATTTAATGACATTTTTAGTGGGTCAACTTAAAAATAAATTATGATCAAACCTGATTGTCGGTGATTGCAAGATTGAGTGATTATTTTTCTTCTTATAAAACACCCACAAAAGCATTAATTAGAACATTAACATCGAAATACATAATTCATGATGTCAACGTTCTCCTTGCAAGTATTGATTTTTTGTGTGTAAACATTTATGTGTGATACTTACTTAGAGGTGTGAAGGTGAATTAGGTATAATATAAACCAAGCTAGAGGTGTACGAGAGTGATATGGTACAAAAGGAATTAGACTTTATAAAAAAGTGGGACTGCGCAGATAAAAATAGCCAACTTCCCCATTTTTGGAGAAGTTTTGGGATTGTCTGTTTTTGGCGAAATTTTATTTAAATTTGATTGGAAACGAGCAAATAAACAAGATATAGCAGCTTTGCTCTTAAAGTAGGCTCAATTTCAAACAAGTTCCCTCATTTAGGCCTTCGTTTATGTGTTTTTTTTTTTTTTATATCTCAATCAATTTAAATTGAATTTGAATTCCGTTTGTTGGAAGATAACCCTTAAGATTAGGACTTTCAATTTTGGCCATTATCTTAATTTTTTTCATATTTGGAAAAAAATCTTTTTTTTTTTTATTATTTTAAAGAATTTCCGAAATTTCCTAGCATTTTCCCCATATAAAGCATTGTAAGCCCTTTGTGGCCACATTAATTGACAAATTAAATGATTCGTCAATTTTTTCATTTTGTAAGATTTGTTCATCTTTTCTATAACTTTCTGCTACGTCTAAGAGAATCAGGACTAAGCAGCAACCCCTTTGGAAAGGTGGGATAGCCTGCGCAAACGTATTTTTATATTTAAAACGTAAAAGAAACAAGTAAATTGCAAAATTGAATTCAAGGCATATGCTTTAACCATCCTTACATCATTATATGAAGTGTGTTAATTTTATCCAAAACATACCTCACATGCACACGGGTCAGTTCATAATAGTAACGGCTAATAACTTAAATAATGCTATTTGGCGCAATCGATCTTACGAGGCTAGTTTAAGTGGCGCTAAGTAATATGTTCCACTAAAGGTAAAATAATGTGAACTCATTTAATTGTACAATATCTCATTTAACGTCACTTAGTGTTGTAACATTTGTGGTGTTAATATCATTACTCAATAACTTAATACTTTGACGTTTTCGACGATGTACGAAGTATTGAAATATATTTTGGAAAGCAACCCACTTGCCAACATTTTAAACAAAGACTTAGCCCCCAGGGCATATCTCCCAGTGGCAAAGGGGAGGGCGGATAGGGCTCAGCGCGGCAGTGTGCAGAGTTTGATTCCCTGCAAGGTGGAATTGATTTTGTTGCAAGCGGGAGTTACCATATGGGTTAACAGTCTTGACCTATCCATGTGCTCTCCACCCTGGCTCCTGGAAGGTACATCCTGCGATTTACCTCCTCACGATGGCCCAGGACAGGGTCGGTGGGGGCCCTTAAGATTGGGATTCAACCTTTTTTAAACGAAGACTTAATTTCTAATCTGTAAAGTTATATTCCACTTTTAAGGCCAAAGTTATGAACATGAGCTCCACTTTGTAGGGTAAAGCTCATCTATATACAGCAAAGCAACAAGAGAGGCACGCTTTGTTTCTTTAAAAACCATCAATGATGTTTTAATTTGAATCAATAATTTATTATTATTTTTTTCAAAAAAGGAAATTTGATATTTTTTCTTCTGCTACTTTTCCTTGGTGGTCTAAAATATATCCTAAGTTCAGTTTTCAATTTAAATATTTAACTTCAGCTTGTCAAGGAGTGTTATGTTGTCTTATCTAAAAATTAAAATTTTCTGGAAATGTATGACATTTATTTATCTTCAATATAACCTTCACGTACAAGCAGAATTTATTTATTTATTTTTATCAAAAACTACAAAAATACCATGATAAACCACAATATTGATAAGAAAAGAAAATTATGTGCTTAAACGTGTTTGATTTTTATGCCCGAGGATGTTTATTAAACCACCTAGTGACCTAAAATTTGATATATGTCCACTTGCATGAAGTCGATGTCCATTGGATGTTAGAAATAAGAGCAAGACGAATGAGATATGTGGTATTAACTGATAGATAGAATTAAGCCCCCGTTTGACACTTGTTTTGTGGAGATGAAAGTGGATGAAAATTTTTTTTTTTTTTTTTTTTTCAAAAATGAGTTGTTAAAAAAGAAGAATTTTTTTTTATTTACGTGTAATATTATTTTATAGAAGATTGCTTGGTTGAAAATAGGAGAAAGAAAAATAAAATGTAATGAAATGAAAATTAATGGGGGTCAAATAGGGGCTAAACAACTCATTTAATTTCATCATTCATTTAACTTATCATTTAGTGTCACCTAAATGGACTGTAGCCTTAACGAGACTACATAGTATTACTTTTGTTAAAATCATATGTCAATTTTAATTGCTCCAAATGGATTGAACTTTCCAACACATCTTCCTGCATTTTACTATGTATTGCCTAGAAGTTTTAAAATGAAGACATATTTATGGAACACACCTTCATGCCAGCTTTTCCACTATAAATTTGTGTGCCAATATTTTATTAAAATCTCATTAAATTAAATTCAAGATACAAGATTCTTATATTTGTGAGGTTAGATAACCCCGTGTGTGTTTGATATATAATACTGAATATGGTCGAATAAGACACTAAGTAATATTTTAATTTATTTTCTTTTAATTATACATTACTATTCAATCCAAATTATCAAACTCTCTATAATGGAATTAACAGAAGAAAACTCGAAAATCACGCCTGAAACAATCTTACAAGTGGATGCATTGCTAGTTCACGAAGGATCAGAGAGGTTTTCCTGTTGAAATTTTCTTAGTATAAATACAAAGTCCACAACTGCCACACAGACACCCTTATCTTTTGAATCCAATATTCGTAGGATCTGAGGCCAAAGTGTTCACTTCTCCTAGAAATAAACTCGAAGTGGTTTTCTTTGATTTTCAATCACAGTTCATACGATTCAAGATTCAGAAAACATGGACAGATCTTGTTATAACACTATTCTTGTTCTGTCCTTTCTTCTCATGCTGTCTTTCTCTCATGGTAATGATCCTGTAACTGTTCCTTCGCCTTTTTTGTGGGTCGTTAGAGATTAAGCCTTAATCTCAATTACAAAAGCAAAAATGGAGAAATGTGCAAAGAATCCTCTCTTGTCCCTAAAAAATCCTTTATACGTAGTAGGAATATTAGATTAATCTACGGTCAAGGGATAAGTAAACAATATATTGTTATACGTTATGGCTTCTAATTTTTATTTTCCAAATTTCATAATTGTTTCTTTGTTTTATAGGATTGGGAAGAAAATTGATGGGAAGTTTTGTCCATGGAAATAGTGCCCGTGAT